CACCCCCGTGGGTGACTCCTGGGGAGACCTTTGGTGCCGTATCCGGAAAGGTTTTGTGAGTAAGATATTTGTGGTGGTTTGTAGGCGTGGAAAGACCGTTCTCCTGTTAAGGTTTGTACTTTAGCATGTGCGTTAGGCTGCACATTAAGCAACCTGTTGCAAAACTTTGCAGGCTGAAGGATTTTTGCAGCTGTCCCACATACCCATCTCTTGTGCACCAGGAGCCTCTGAGCCTTGTGTGGAAGTCCACGGGACGGTGAAGTCACTGTGGAATTTTGCACCGTTGACTTCAGTGCAGGATTTCACTCTTACATTCTGACTCAGATCCATTTGAGAATGACTTTGTTTACATCTGACAATAACTACTGATCAGTGCTTAGTGATTACAGGATAGTTCAGGTGCTGTAAGGACACAAAGTTGGCACTGAGTCTGTACAATGTTTGTCAGGTGAAACCTTTTCATTTGAGATACAAAATAAACCTCTGAAATTAAAAAATAATATAGAATGATCGTTGCTTTATTTAATGACTTTATAGTAAAAGAGAAATTTATTTGGATTTAATCTCCCTTTGTTTTTCTATTTTACATTATTGGCTGAGTTCTGAATAGGACTATATTAAAAGTCTGCCTCAAAGAGCAGAAAGCACATTGCACAAGAGGTATTTAATTACTTTGCCAATTCATAAGTGGAGCGATAATTACATTTCTAGGTTCATTTACAGTAACTGAACAAATGATGTCAAGTATATTTAATGGTATCTTGCTTGACCTTGGCAACTGTAAAATTGTGAGATATGGTTAGAGGGTGAGGAGATGCACTGATCATACAGTGCAAGCTTGTGTCTGGACCGTGCAGGGGCTATTTGTGAGAATAAATCACAGATGAACCCGGTTCTGTGGCAAGATCTGAATACTCAGTGTACTGGTAGAAGTGTATAGTGTCACACAGGCTGTGGAAAGATTTGGGTGTTCAGGAAAGGGATTTCTTCACATGTTCAGAAGAAAATGTCTCTACTAGTGCTGTTCACACCTGCTCCACTCCTGCTGATCACTCTGGAGTGCGATCCGGGGAGGACCTCATGCACAGTCCAGTCTGATCAATGCTGGTTTATCAAAGGAAAGGGGAAATGTTTGCAACTCAGGGGGTGGCAAAGCAGTGGGGCAGCTGTGGGCAAGGAAGGAGACCTTGGCAGGGCTGGCTGCTCTGCCACTCATCTTAGGGGGCTGTTCTTTATTTTCCATGGGCACTAAATGCATTACTGGTGGTAGAAGTGAGACTCTCCAATACCTGTGCTGGTTCCTGTCTAACTCCAATGCTCCTGTGGGTGTTAACCACGTTTCGAGCAAGTCCAGCTGCAGCTTCCACAACTTCTCCCAGAGTCTGGAGTAGGGGTGAACCTGTAGCTGTGAGCTGCTGTACACAAGTGTGTCTGTTCATATTCAGGGGTCAATGATTCATCCACAGTTTCAACACTAAACTCTCTCACTTGTTCAGCAAGAAAGGAAACTTGCTGTTGCACCAACAAGGGATTAAGTTCTGACGTCTGGAGCTTGCTTGAGCCCCCTCCACAGCCCGAGCCGAGGGGGGCTGTGGGACAGGAAGGAGCAGGTTACGCTTTTACCCACAGTGTGAAAACACCAAGGGGGAGGAACAGGCGAGGAGTCAGCAGGCAGGGGATCAGGGCGGCAGAGTGTGGACGTTCTCCTGGCGCGTGACGGGAACCGCGTGCCCTCGGCTGCGCCCCTCGAGTCAGGAGGTCTGTCCCGGCGCGCCCTGGGCAGCCAGAGCTGCTGCAGGTGTTCCACTGACTGGGCTGCTGCTGGTGTTACTGGGAGCCTGTCCCAGGCAGGGCATCCAGGGAAAGCAGGCTGGGGCAGGAGGAGCTCCTGGGTGAGGTGAGGTCACTGTAACCACCGTGATGCTGCTGAGTGCTCACACGTCTGAAACTCGGGAGAGTTGGATGGGCTGGAGAGCCCCGTGTTCCTGCTGGGATGGTCAGTGTGCTGCCTTGCAGGGTGTAAAAGAAACTGGTAGGAGATGAGAAGCAGTGAGGCTCAGCCTTTGCTGGTCCCAGGGTGAGGTTTCCCTTGTGGAAAGGAATCTTACAGGCATCTCTGCAGTACCTTCCTGCTCTGGGAATGCTAAAATATATTCCCATGTCGTGTCATCATTTACCTTCTCCCCCCTGGGATGCTCAACAATTTTAATTCTCCAAGGGATTGCCACCATAAAAAGCCAACTGAGCTTTGGCTTCAAGGACAGTGTTTTGCTTGGATCTGAAGACCAAGAAATCTTGACTTGAAGCTGATATAACAGAGAACCACAAATAGGATGTGGCTTCTTGCATCAGTGTGTCCTTTTGAGTGACACCCTGTGGTGTGGGTGCACTGGATCTTCCAGTGAAACCTGCACCTAGGTGACATCTCCCTAGAGAAAAATAATCCTTTGAGAAAAATCATCCATTAATTCTGGTCTTGCTTACTGCAGATGGACTCCAGCATTCACATCTGCAAGCTGCAATTAAAGCTCTGGCTGGCTTTCACCCTGCAGTGGTTGTTCTCCAGATCTCTGTGTGAGTCCCTTCACAGAGGGACGGTGACAGGGCTGGCACTGGTGCTGATGTGATGTTAATTGCCCTTTTTTTTGTTTGATGCCCTTTGTAGGTTGCAGTTGTGGACAGAGAGACTTGCATAAGTGCTGTTGTCTGCAGCCTCCTGTCTCTTATGTAGAAAAATGAAATTTCTGCTTTGTGAGTGGGTCTGCCAAGACCTCAGGGTGTGATCCCCAAACCGTGGCTGGAACAGTGGCTTGTGTCTGTCACATCAAGCAGCAGAAGGAAATGCTCTGTGTGGAGCCTTCTCTGCACGAGGGTCTGTGTGTCACCTCCCGCTCCAGTTGCTGCTGAAATAGCTGAATATTTGTCCCGTGAGTGGAAGTGCCTGTGACCCCCCTGCTCGGAGGGCTGTGAATGATTGCAAAGAGCTGGAGCAGGGCAGGAGGGGCTGGAGGAACTGTTCTGCTGGAAGGGGCATGGGGGGCACTTTTAATGAGCTGTGCAAAGAGCTTGTTCCAACAGCTTCTAATGAACTCAATGTCTACAGCCTCTTGGCTTGGTAACAGCTGAGGCAGCCAAATCTGCTAAAAGGAGCTCTGAGCAGGCAAATAGGGCCCAGTGCCTTCAGAGAACAGACTTGACTTCCTTGGTGGCCATAGAGCAATTTAAAATTAACTCGGATGAGTCCTCCTGGTTAGAACAAGGAGACTTTAAGAACTTCCAGAAGAAAAATGACATTGCTTGCTCTGGAAAGCAAAGACTGTGAAGGGTGGCTTTGTGGGGACAGGGGTGATGCAAATGTAGGCAAGTGGGGCTGGGAGCAGGGTGTCCTGCAAGGTGGAGTGGAACTGGATCCTGGACTGGAGAGCACAGCAGGAGCACAGACAGGCAGGGAGCAGTGTAGGGAGCAACCTGGCAGGACAAATAAGTGATTGTAACCTGATTATACATTTCATACACAGAGTCCATCTCTGCTGAGTACTTGCTTGGTGGTTTAGAAAGGCCAGTTTCACAAAACTGGGAACAATGGTCAGTTAAAAGCTGAGAAGAAGAACTTCAGTGGGGAAAGAGGGGTGATCACTGACAGTAGGGTGACTACCTTTATCATATGCACTGAGAGTTTCAGTTTGGAGAGAGGGCAAGCCTGGAGAAAAGCGAGCTGGCACAGGGAGGATGTGAAAGCAGCAATGCTTGGGTGGGGGGAAAGGGAAGTGGACAAGAGTCAGTATTAATGGGATGCTGAGGACCACAGAAAATATGTGGTCATGTTTTATGATCAACAATCATAAAGGTCTTTTCCAATCTCAACAATTCCATCATTCTATGGAAAGGAAGAACTGAGGAAGAACACGCTGGACAGAGTATTGAGTGATGAGTGTAATGGTGTGGTACAAAGGAATCCAACCCATGGTAATCTGTTGTCAGATGCAGAAAAAGCCATGTTCAGTGAAACATTTTTGTTCTGTCTTCAACGAAGTGCTCAAAGTGCAGTCCTTTAGCACGAGAAGTTGACTGATAATGAAATATTTTTACTGTGACAGTGACTAAAGAGAAGTTAAAGTACGTATGTCCAACCCTGGCTACTTTAAAATCCACAGGTTTAAGTAGCTTCCATACCACAGTTTTGTAAGAGCTGCCTGAGGAGTTTTGTGAATAATAAATAATAAAGCAGGTGCATTTCTACAAGCCCCAGGGTGGATGGAGATCCCCAGGAATGCTGACCACGGGTCAGGCTGATTTGTAGCCCCCTGTTGGGAAGCAGATTCCAAAAAGAGGTGTGAGGTAGCAATATGTAACATTGAGATGTCATATCTGAACACGTGTAATATGTTCAATATTTAATTAGTTGGACACAGCAACTGGCCTGGCTGCCCACAGTCAAGAGGGTTAATGTGATATCTGTGTGTGTGGGACATGTGCAAGCTGAGCAAGAGTAGTGTGAGTCTACCAGGCTGCTTTTTGCTGGGGCAGTGGCTTTTTGCCACACATTCAATTTGCCCACTTTATCTGAGCTTCAGCTGTCCTGTTTTAAAACAGAGAAAATTCTTCTTTTTTTTTTTTTTTTTCAACTACGAAATACTTCAAGTTCAAATAAAAGTGTTTAATTAACTTTGTCATTTTAGCAAAGCAAAACAGATTCCCTGAAACTCCTGCAGCTTGTGGCCTTGTGTTACTGGCCCCTTTCTAGCCATTCTGGAAATAGCTGGTGGGAGCAAAATGACTCCACTGGCAGGAAGGCTGGCAAACAGGGCTTGGGTTAGGTCCAGATTACATAATGTTTACAGGAGCTGTGTTAGAAATCAGATTCACACATCTATCCCACTGGAGAGCAGGCGGTGGGAGCGAGGGGGCCACTAGCACAGTCACAGCTGTGACTTGAGAACACTCGGTGATTTTTGCACCCAGCAGTTCTGCACACTGCAGGTAGAACGTTCCTTTGTGGTAGTGGTGGGACAAAAGGGCTTGAAAAGCTCCGATGCATCCAAAATATCTGTTGGTGTTGGGATCAGGGTCCTGGAGGAGCCCTGTTTGCCTGGGTGGGGGTGGTGAGGCTCTGATGACCACGTAGCATCCAGAAGTTGGTGGGGAAAACCCAAAGCTTGGCAGTGCCAAGGCAGGGCTTCTCTGAGCGCTGAGTCTGCCTGGTGGGGAAGCTGTGGGCACTGGGTCTGATGGAGAACAAGGTCCAGCTCAGGATCCTGGTGGCTGGCAGCGGGGCCTGGTGGCTCATGCATGTCCTGGTGCTATGTCTGGGTGAGCCAGCTCGCCTTATCTGACCTACATTCCCTGCCAGAACCTCCTTTCCCTGGGCACCTCACCTGCCCTTCCCAGAGACCTCCAGCTCTCCTGCCCACAGGAGATTGGCTCGTGGCTTGGCTTCCTCTGCCATGGCTCAGCAGGTCCCCCAGTGTGGAAAATCTCCAGTGCTTTCAGTGTAGCAAAG